TTGAACCCAGGAGGCGGAGGTTGCAGTGAGCCGAGATTGCACCACTGCACTCCAGCCTAGGCGACAGAGTGAGACTCCATCTCAAAAAAATAAAAAAAAAGTCCTATGTTCATGTGATAACAGATAGTTTAGAAATCTAAGGAAAGTTTGCCAATACTTCTATATAACAAAGGGAGAAATGGTTACATAGTGACAGTATTTTTATTATGTGAAAAGCCTATGTTTAAAGTCAGCCAAACAATTTAGATACTTACTAAATGTCTGCTATTTGCCATACATCATGCTAGGTACCATGGAGGATACACATCAGCCTACTACATGACCCCTACTCTCAGGGAGTTTATGAACAAGCAGAAAAGACCAGACATGCACAGGTAAAACAATAGATAACATGTACTAGGCTCATCAAAGCTAAGCCTTTTAAAAATAGTAGTATATCTAAGATTCCTATTACACTAATTAGCAGGCTAAAACATTTTAAGTAGGCAAGTTTAACCTATGGTAAAACTATTGTGAAGGGCTAAAGAGAAATAGGATATCTGGTAATAAAGCCTAGAGAGTTTTTAGTGAACAACGGGGAACTAGGGTTGCCAATAATCCTGGTTTTTCCCAGGACAGAGGAGTTTCCTGGGACATGAGACTTCCAGTGCTAAAACAAGTGAAGTTCAGGGCAAATCAGGATGAGCTAGTCACCCTTGGGAGAACAGCTATATTAATTCACATTTTCTTTTGGTATCAGAATTGAAGCAGAATAACAAGTCGAGTCTGATTCCACATTTCTTATATTTGAGGGGGCATATTTACCTTTTCAGTTTTGCCAGCTTTCCCTTTGGGTACAGTGACCAGAGGAACTCTTGTGATCTCTACAGGCCAAAGCCGGCAATCGGCAATTCGCTTCTGAAAACTGCAAATCAAGAATCAGTCCATTAGCATTATATGTAAAAATAAAGTCAGTATAATTTAGGTTAAAGGGAAATATTCTCTTTTATTAGGTAATATAGAGTATACATATATAAAAATAGCGGGGCTGGGCTCAGTGGCTCATGCCTGTAAATGCCAGCACTTTGAGAGACTAAGGCAGGCAGATGGCTTGAGCCCAGGTGTTCAAGATGGTCTGAGCAACATGGCAAAATTCCATCTCTATGAAAAATACAAAACATTAGCTGGGCATCGCAGTGAATACCTGTGGTTCCAGCTACTTGAGGAGGCTGAGGTGGGAGGATGGCTTCAGCTCAGCAGGTCAAGGCTATAGTGAGCCGTGATGAAGCTACTGCACTCTCACCTGGGCCACAGTGAGACCCTATCTCAAAAAAAAAAAAAAAAAAAAAAA